CCCCACTTTTTTAGACCCCCCTGCTATTTTAGACCCCCTCACTTTTCTCAACGCTCTGCTGTGCCTGATATCATGGAAAACAGAAAATTTGTTTTGCCAGTGACAACATAAAACATTTAATTACGACTTTTTAGACCAAAATCAGAAGCAGAATTGTCAAATATGTTTTTGATGACCATAAATGTGTTAAAACTTTGTTAGAGCAAATAAGAACGAGTTAAATATTACGCTTTAAAGGCTGGTTTCTTTAAAAAACAAATTTGTATCATAAATCTTTCAATATACGAAGACATGAAAAATAAAGCATGTGGTACATTTAATTATGATCAAAACAAACCTTGGTCATCTGTCTTATCTCTGTTCTCTACGCCAAGGTCAAAGAATTTGATATCAATGTCACAATACGGAAAAATTAGCTTCTCTTTTATCATGTCCCAAATAATCCTGAAGAAACAAAACAAATGGGGTTCAGAGAAACTTATGCATTGCCGAGTTGGCGAAATACATTTGTAGAAAGAAATAGATCTAAAAAAATTATTGTACAAAAAATATTCCAGTTGTTGTCAGGGACGTAAAAGACAGGGTCAAACGATCATCCAAAACATACTACTGGCCAACTCGTGAAGGACAAGGGGGTGTTGCACCACTATAAACTCTATTCCTATATGCCCTGGTTATATCAGAAAGAAATACTTAGGTTTGATTTTCCTGCTTCGTTTTGGTTTGCCATCTTTAATGAAACATGGCTGCTACTGAAGCATCACAGCTGTTCCTAACCCCTAGTATTCGCAAAATGATATATCCACACCCATTATATACAAGCTGGTTCTTCTATATGTTCTTTGGACTTGTTTGGTTAAATATTATCAACATTCATTTTTCAACAAAACATCCAAGACTACCACTGTCATATTTGCACACTAGCTAGGTGCATATTGATTTTCACTTTACCTCCAGGGTGATATCTAACCAATAACCTTTGAAACAAGCCCACCCCTCCAGCACGTCCATGGGCTTGTTATCAAAATCAGGCCAATGGACTCACTGGACCAAATGGACCCAGAAGGGTAAATTTCAAAATATTTAGGAATAGAAAATAAAAAACACAGAATTGCACTTGTTGACAGATCTTTTGAAATACTTCTGGGTGATGGCATAACTCAAAATGGTGAATGGGATAAACTTGAACTGAGAATAACTTTATTATTTAGCACTGACATTTATGATCAATTCTATAAAAAATGCATTTTCCTTCAAACCATTTAATTTCTTTTCCCTAACATTTATTTTGCTAGTTCTTGTTTCCAAAATAACAGAGAAGGGGGGGGGAATGCCCTTAGTTGATGCCAAAATGTAACCACCTTCTAGACTTCTTAAAATGACTTTGGAATTTTTTGTCCAAATCACCCCTTGTTGTTTTCATAAAACTACACATCTGGTTTGATCTGGTATTGTGATGCAATTGTCTCATCAAAATGAAAATGAAATCAACATCTGAGGTTAAAATCAATCTAAAGGGAACCTAACCCCTATCAGATGCTGCAAAATTCAAGACCCTCTCTTGTAAGGTGATTACTTAAGTAAGTGTGTCAGTCAAATTTGCTATAGAATAAAGGGCTTCAGAAATTGCATACCTTGTCATTTCATCTCCTTGCATCTCAACAACTGGACCAGCTGAAGGAAAGGAAAACTTGGTATATTTCTCTAAGTAAATTTATCAATGATCTATTTCATGCTTGAAAATAATAATATAAAGTAAACCAGACAAATGTTTCAATAAATGTAATGCACAAGTCTGATTTTCAAGCTTAGTCACTACCTCCATAACACTGCACAATAAGACAGTGTAAAGTCTGCATGCTCTCATGCAACACTGTGTCTAAAGACCAACCCCAAAGACCATATTTTACCCACCCATAGAGAGGTTGAAGAGGGTTTAAAATTGTTCAGGATCTCAAAATCTTGTAGCATAGGAAACATTGCTTTTAGAATCATAGATGTAAGAGGCAATTCAAATGTGCTACAAATAAGTACTTTCTCTGTTTCTGAAAAGAGGGGGGCAAGTAACCCTCTATGGTTCCAATGTCTAAGCAAAAAAGCCTAAGCAAACTTTGCATAATTTTGAATCCTTGCAAAAGATTTCATTATCTCCTTTTGAACTGTATGGAAGTAAGGGACAGAAGGCAAAGATCGGATCCAAGCCTCTGATCCAAGCAACTTAGTTTACAGTTATATATTGTGAATTTTTATAAATTGCTGAAGGGATACCCTCCTGAAAGGCATTTGACATGCATAAGTACAGCAAATCCAAAAATAACTCAATCAGAGCATGCGCATTTGAAGGGGACTGGAAACTACTAACATGAAACTACTCTAGGGTTTTGCCGATTTGCAGAAAAGTGGAAACTGTTCATGGAAACATGTTTTTTCTCTGTACGCAAATTGATTAGTCAACTGCTGGGGGTCAAATGGCTATAAGCCACCTTTACCTGTGTTGAATGCCTTTAAATATTTGAAATGAAATGTGCGCCACAGTTGTCATTAATATTTTGTTTTATTTAAGTGCGAGCGCTTTTCTAATTGTGTGACTCATTTTGCTTTATAGATGCAATTTGTTTTATTTTGTGCGCCTGAAATTGAAAATGTGTGATGAATTTAATTTTTAGGCGAATCAGTATTATTTTTGTGTGAGTGGTTTTGTTTGTGTGACTCGCTTTCTTTCTGTGTGACTGGCTTGATTTTTGTGTGAGTTGTGTTTGTTCTTGCACGAATTGCTTTGTTTCAATGTGAATCAGCTTGGTTTCTATGAGAATCACTTTAATTTTAGTGTGTTGCAGTTATGGGCTACCGTACATATCACATCAGCCACACTTCCTGTTATTTTTTACTCCTACTTGTAAAATTCTTGGTTTCTTGGGCATAGAGTCATCCTTCTTGTTGCTCATTATTTCTTTGATTTAGGTTTGACAATTTTTGATACACACCAATATACTATATAAAGTCAAGATACACATCTACCAACAATCCATAACATTTACCGTAACCCCCACCCTCCCCCTTACCCCCTGGTAGGTACGCCCTGAGAACAGTTACGCAGTTGGTCTTAAAAACAAAAATTTGTTATAACACAACAAGTTTTAAGCCTTTTAAGCTAACTACAACATGTCTGAATGGAACAATCTTAAAGGGGTCTGCTGGGGTGTGTTATGCTTATGTTGAGACTAGGAATTATACTTTAGACAGCTGGAACGATAAAAATCATTCTTGGCTTAGAACAACAATTGCATTTTGTGCTTGAACTTTTGCACCTACGCTGCAGAGTAGTTGTAAACACTTTGCCTAAATTTGACTTTGCCTAAAAAAGTGCTAGGAGCTAGGGCTTTCAGAAGTCTCAACCAGCGTTTATGTCCCATAACTCCTCAGTTATAGACATATTCGTACTTTCAAACTGACTCGGTGCTTCTTATCATATTTCACTGGGTACAAAGTCAAGATTCTAGATTTTGTTGTCAACAGGGAAAGAAACAAATTAACAACAGCGCTAAATATCGGTTGTGCAGAGCTTTTGACAGTTGTTTGTTCCCAGTTAAAGAACATAAAATGTTTGATGATGATGTCCAACACTGCCAGGAAACTTTATCGAGGTTATGGCTTGTTGCCGAACAGGAAGTTTTGAGCATAAGGCAAGCGGGCCTAAATGGGATGATAGACCGAAAAGCAGTAAAACATGTCTTCTAAGTCCAAACATACAGGATTATAGAACAATTATTAAATACCTTTTATTTTCTCCATATTTCCAGGACCTAACTGTGATGCAATCTAAAACAAAAGTCTTTCCGGTTCAAGTATCCTTGTTGCAGGGCTGCAGAAACAAGAAAAAGAAGGGGTTCCACAGGTGCTCTACGAAAAATGTAATCATTATACCACGTGACCAAAACAGAGTCCATTGCTCGACTCCTGGTTTTCACAGCTATTTTTCAAGGGTGCCACAAAATGAACGGTTTGGAGGCAATTTAGACCTCGTTTACACTGTGTCGGGTAAATTTTATCCGCATCAAAATTAGTTCAGAAAGGCGTTCCGTTTACACAAGACCCACGCTACCCGCACGAATTAGAGAGCGGCTATCCGAACAAAATTAGTTCACCTAGGAAAGTGGATTAAATTAGTTCGGATAGCTATGTGGTACAGTGTAAACGCCTTTTTCCGGATAAATTTTATCCACATCGTATCTTGCTCGAAAGCTATTGGCTATTTCATTCAATTTAGTTTTCACTGTCTCGCAATCAAGACCGTTCGCCGTCTTGGCTGCCTTGTTGTCGATAAATACACTCTTTTTTTACAAGATCAAGTAAATTTAAGTTCAGGCTGACTGTTCTTAATTTTTTTGAAAATCTGAGGCTGGATTGTTCTTAATTTGTTCTTAAATTAAGAGGGTGTAAGCAGTGCTATTGCTAGCTTTTTCGCTCTAAGGAGGTGTTCAGGCCTCATTTGCCAACAAAGTGAGCGAGACAGACTTAATTTGCTGACAAATTTGAATATTCACCGAAAAAGCACCCAAACATCGCTAAAAATCTTCGATTTTTTTTAGAAAAAAAATTGTTCAAAATTGCATTTTGCAGAAGCTAAGCCTCAGCTTGTTCTTAATTTTTTCTTTACTTTTGACCAGTTTTGAGGCTCGTGTTCTTATAAAATTGTTCTTATGAAATAAGGAGTGTACTCGTGTTAAAAGTGCAGTATCTTGCCAGTCCACGTAAAATTAGGGCCTAAAATAAGCGTGGATCTGACACACTTTGTGGAGTTGTAAATTAAAATTGTGGAACTGTAATTGTAGAAAGTGTGGATTTGTAAATAATGCATGTTCCTAAAAGTGCAGCATAAAATACCAATCGAAACGCCTAAGAAAGAAATTAGACAGGGAATTTTGCATAACAATCTAGCAAACTGGGTAACCGAAGTTTTTAAAGTTTAAATCATAAGAGTAAAGGCCACTGATCATTTTAAGCCTTGGGAACATTCTGGCAATGACCGGAAGTTGCTTTTCAGGAGGCACAAAAAATGCACGGTCAGCAGAATTTCGACTTTTGAATTTTTCAAACTGATGATACTATCGGAAAGAACATGCAAAACTGAACAAAAGATTTTTAAAAAGCAATGTGATCTGACCTATAAGCAAAAAGTTATGGCTGTGGAAACTTTTCGTTTAGTCAAACAACTTGCTTTCTCGAGTTTCCTGATAGTGCAGACGCATAGCAGTAGAATGTGCGTGTTATGATAATAGCATGAAGTTTGGTACAAGTACACAATCCGATATGCTGAATAAGATGAAGTTCATATCAAGCTTCAAAAAAGCCCCCAAAAGCTATTTTTGGACTGGGGTACTGGTAACACGAGGGCGTATAGAAACCAGTAGCTCATCAGCCCCAAGAGGACATTTCGAGGCTTTTATTTGGCATGTCCCCTTTCTTGTAGGCACCTTACATAATTCTTCATCAAGGATACGGCTGCTTACAAAAATAGAAAAATATGAAATTGATTTATCTACAAAATTAACCCATCGACACAAGGTACTCATTGCAGCGTTGTTATGTATATAGAAGCATCAAGTTTGAAGGAACGGGATGGGCAGGGTCGGACATCGCTACGGAAGGGATAGGTCCGAGGAGTTTAAAGAATGGAGTGGCGTGGGGTCCCATGATTATGTATGACGTTTTCTACATGGTTAGGGTGGGAGTGAGTAGGGTTGGGCGTGGTTATGGAAGAGAAGGATTGAATGGGCTGACTCGCTTGACTTCAATAAGGTTGAATTAAGAAAACATTCTACCACTTGATTTTGCAAATTAACACAAAAACTTTATAAAGCTTCCTAATCTTTTTTATGTTGATATTTTATTGTGAAACTGTGTTCAAATTTTTGCGGTTTAAAGTTTATTCTAAGACCTTTCAAACGTCATGAAAAGTTCAAGCCAAAACTATGAATTCAAGTTCAAAACAAAAGTTCAAGGACATATTCGATAAGAAAATGTTGGGGGAGTGGTAATATTTTGGCAACGTATTTTTGTGATGTAATCCTATGATTTTGGCATTGCTTTTTAGTAACCAAAAATTGGTCATTGGCATTCCCATTTGAGGATTTGCAAAGAGCAAAATACATTTTACCATGTTTATTTAGGGACAATACGCTATTTGCTGCTTCCTCAGTATACGTCAATTAATCTTCAGTTTCTTTCTTCACAATTTGAAGACAGCAAAACTTGTTGAATGAAGTATTATTTATTTCTGAAAACTTTTCATAGTCCCTTGTAGAATTTATGTGTTGATGCTCAGCAATTTCTTTTACATTTCTTTCCAATTTTCATGAATTATAAGCTTGACATTCCAGACTAGGAGGGTGGAGGGTCATCAATAGAAAAATTTAGCGACGAAAACATAGATGGAGAAGAATTTAGGTGCTATTTTACTTACTGATAAATGATTTTACCGACAAACTAAGGATTTTATAAACAAACCAAAGATTTACCGACGAATTCATGAAGTATTGGGGAGGGGGGTTACACCCCCCGCTAGCAATGCCTCTGACTATAGTGTTTCTCATCAAATGTTACCTAAAAAGACATGGCAAGCGATTCACAGCTCAGCTGGCAAGAATCAAACAAAAAGGTCTTATAAAGTATTTAGCACATCAAGGCATGTCAAAAAATACATTTTTTAGGTGTTTAGGTAGTTTATTACTTTGTTTCGCAGACTGGACATCTACTCTATCTAACTAAGCACGTCAGATTTCACCAGAAAACAAAGTTTCAGTTGTACAACTTGCCTAGTCATAAAGTTTTAGTGCGATAGCCAGCAATGGATTAGGTATAAGTACCTCAGTCTAAATAAAGCCTTTGGTGAAGTTTTGAAACTAGGTCTACATTTCACTTTATCTAGCACTTCAGATTACGTCAGGAAACCAAGTTTAAGTTATACAACTTGAATAGTTGCAAAGTTACAGTGCAAGACCCAATATAGGACTGGGTACAAGAACCATAGTTTAAAAATTGCTCTTGTGAAATTTTTAAAGCTTTTTTGCATCCCATTTTATCCAGCACGTCAAATAACGCCAGAAAAAAGTTTCAGCTTTAAAACTTGCAATGTTACGAAGGTTGTAGTGCTATACCAGAAAGAGGACTGGGTACCAGTACCCCAGCCATCATCTGGGTACCATCAGCCATCAGCCTTCGTACACAAAAATTCTCCGTTTTGGTAGTTTTTCAAAACCCCTTTCGTCATAAATTGGTTTGGCCGAAGAAGCAATAGTTGGCTGAATCGGCCGCATTAAAAATAATTTCAATAATGCAAATGACGAAAACATTAAACAAAGTAACAGTTAACAGAAAATTAAAGATAAAGTCAAGTGAAGTCTACAAACAAAATCTGATTACACTATCACTTCCCACAATTAGTAGAAATGTATTTTTTTGTATATTTTGTTTAGCTGGCTGAATTTGGCCGCCAACCGTAAAACATTTGGCTGCCAACCATTCCAAAAAACTGGCAAAACCCTGAAAGTGGTAAGTCACAATTTACTCCCAAATGATAACCACGGATGCTAGTGTAAAGTGTTTGGATTTGGTAACGATGGACAACGGAGCAATGGAAACAATGATTTTTTTAAAAAATATCAAAATTATGCCAGAGTTATGCTAGATTCCAAATTATGCTAGATTTTAAGCTAAATGATGATTTTTGACCAATATTATGCTAAAAGCACAATATTAGGCTAGATCTGGTCACACTGCATGCATTGGTAATATTGGGCGGCCTGCCTTCCTTAAAGGCGAAAAAAGCTTTCGATAGCAGAACAATATTAAAGGTTCTGTTCTTGAAGCTCCTTATTGCTTTCACAATATCAAACATTTCTTTGGTTCTGTTGCTATCCAAAACTTACTTCATGCAATTTCCAAAGTCATTTTGAAAGCTAGCTTTCATTGCTCAACCCCATCAGAAAAGTCAGGGAGGGAATGGCGCTATGCTTCCAAATATTCTGGGAGGGAATGGCACTGAAAGTGCGTTCTTTCCTTGAAAGGTTTGTCTAGTACTAATCAATGAAAACCAAATTGAAAATGTGTCATCGTTATGGATGATTGTCACAGAAGTCTCTAAGGCATGCCAGAAGCTTATCAAATGTCGATTTAAATTTAGCCAGGATGTCGATTTTGTGTGACAATTCGAAATTATTCACTGAAAGCAGACATTAGATAACACAAAAAGCATTTTCTGGCAAGTACCTGCAAGCATTTTCAACCGACTAGGAGCAAATAATCTATCTTAGAAATTGTATGGGGGCATAGGTTTGCGTTATTTCTATACTTGCACATTTGAGGAATTTTGGCACAGATGCATTTCAGAAACCTTTAGAGGACTGTTCACTAATACCCCATGCTAAAAAGCTTTTTTAGTACATTTAGTACAAGTACAATTTTAGTACAAATTCAGTTAATACCTCTTTAAACATTGTGTGAGAATTATCTACTTGATATCAGCATTGACTCAAGTGACTATTGATCTGTGGACCTGTTAAGATACCAACCATATTACATCTGGGTTCTTCTTCTAATTTTTTCAATCTTTTAGGGGTTTAAAAGGCTTTTCATACTTCACGTTTAGGAAAAATACCAATAGCATAAAATCTAACACAAATATTTGGGCTTATGTTATCTCAGCAAACATGTTTTATCTACATTGCTTGTTCAACATATTTATACAAGGAATTCTTCCTAAGACCGCCAAACCACTGTTTTGTAAGCCATTTAAGATGCAGGATTGATTTGCTGATAATAATATTCGGAAAGATATTGTTCGTTCTTCAATTTTTTTATCTAGAGCTAACATGTTCACCGAAATGTTATTCTTATCTTGAAAATGTTGTTTCTGACCATATCTTTGAATTCAGTATGGCGCCAATAAGTTTGATTTTGAAATTATTCATCGCCCTGGGGTTGCTAATGGTAATGCAGACGCACTTTCTCGTTGCGTCTATTCTGCATCTCCTTCTGCTCATGAAGTTTCCTCTCTCGATTTACCAGTAGCAGTTGTCGACCATCCTTGCCCACTACCATCTACCTTGCATAAATTACAACGACAAGACAAAGATCTTGCTGACATAATTCAGTATTTAGAAACGTCGGAATTGCCAAGTAGTGACACTAAAGCTCGCGCGTTATTGCTGTCTATCGATTCTTTTTATTTGGATGAACATGGGATCCTTTGTCATCTATGGACACCTGGAAAGCGTCGTGCTAAGTCATTCCTGCGTCTCTTCGTCATGAAATTCTTGTTTCTCTTCATGATGACCCAACTGCCGGACACCTTGGCTCGGAGAAAACCTACGAAAAGGCCTTGTCGAACGATTCAATGGAACTCTTACTGAAGGCTTATCAATGTATGTCAGCAGTCATCAAAAGGATTGGGATCGTCATATCCCCATGATTCTCTTCGCGTATCGTGTTTCGCCTCATGCTTCTACTGGTGAGTCGCACTTCTACTTACTGTACGGTCGTGAGCCTCGTTTACCTGTAGATGCTGCCTTGTTATCGCCCTCCGCTCATCTTTCGTCGTCTGTCGCTGAGCATCGTGCGCGCATACTTACAAATTTGGAGAATGCGCAGCGTATCGTTTCTTCTGAGACGCAGTTGGCTCAACAGAAAATGAAAGAATATTACGATCGAAACAGTCAACCAGTTGTTTATGATATCGGAGACGAAGTGTGGGTGTTTACCCCGAAAAGCAAGAAAGGCTTATCGAAAAAATTATTGCATAACTATCACGGTCCGTACCGTATTGTCGCGAAGCATTTTCCGGTTCACTTTCGTTTGCGAACTCTCGATAACCGTCCGGTATCTGTTCCAGTTCACGCAAATAGATTAAAGCCGTATTACGATCCGAACGATCATCCAATCGAGCCACCCGCGGATTTTGACAATTCTAGCGATCTCACTGACAATGATTTGCCTTACGATAGTTTTGATAATGATCTGATACCAGAAGAACTGGCTGTAATGCGCCCGGAAGAGACACACTCCGTTGGAGATTAAGAACTACGTTGCTCTTAAAGGCAATCTGTCTCGTTGTGGATTGGTTAACGAGAACAATAGCTGGAACAATAGCCTAAACACGATTCCGGCGCTCCGCCATATTTTTTACAATGCGATAAATTAAAGAGGGACTGGAAACAATAAAAAACAGATTGCCTTTAAGTTCAAAACCAGGAGGTTTGAACTTAAGGGGGGGCATGTTACGGTACGAAGGTCGTATCACGTGCTTGTATCACGTGGGTATCAGCGTGAAAATCGTTTTACTAACTTGTATGCTTTTTTAACTATTGTTCTGTTCTAGTGTTTAATTGGCTGTTATCATGTTCTGTTTTCTTATTGGCTAGTTGTATTTTAGAAAGCGTATATAAGAGCTTGCCTGTTTTAGAGTAGGAGGCTTTTCACTGTGGGCGTTCCCGCCTTGCCAAGAGAATCGTGGCCGCCGTTTCCCGATGATAGAAAGTCGAAGCGTGTGTCACTTGAAAGACGTCGTTGTTGTCCTGTCGCTATTCGAAGTGTTTAAGTCAAAAACGCCACAAGTCGTCAACATTAGAGCAAGCAAGCTAGAGATCGTGAGTGATGATTTGTTATTTTTATTATTCTTAGCGTTTCTGCATTCTTTATATTGAACATTTGAGACTGATTGCATATGAAGTATTTCGTTGACCCACAAACTGTTAGACTTGCAGGGGCGGATACAGAATAAAAGTTGACGGTCGCACATTAACACTGCCCAGCAGGCGGTCTAGGGGGCCTCACTCATGGTCAAGGGCGGAGCCATGATGGGGGCTCAGCCCCCCAGAACCAGAGCAATTAGGACTGGGGCCCTGAAACGCTCAAATTTTTCAGTCAAACATTTTTCCCTTTAAAAGGTTTTCCAAATTTTCCAGCAAATCCAGCACGTAGTTGAAAAAAATATCTTGAGATTCAGAAGTGAACACTTCCTGTGCACCTCTTCCGTATAGATAAGAAAATTGAGACTCTTCCCTTTCACAACTTACAACCGCAGCCACTTTTTTTTACAATAAGGCTTTTAGGCCGAAATGGCCCATCGCCAACACAATTACCATACATACAAGTTAACATAAGTACAAATTAACAAAAAATCTCAGAAAACAGCAAACAACTAATACAAAGATAAACAGATGAAAAAATGATGACGAGCTAGAAAGTTTACGTTACGAGGATATGCACGTAGAGAACTTCCCAAAAGATTCCCGTGATTCAAAAGCCAGTGATATAAAATTAGCTATTGATATCAGACAATCCGTATCTTCTTATCACATCACATCAACCAAATAAACTTATCACAAAGGTCAAGGGATGATATTCTGGGAAATTTTGAATAAATCATAGATAACATAGAATTCCTAGCAGTCTCGTAAAGTGGACAAACTAATAAAAAATGAATTTCGATCCTAGGAATAGGATTCTTCCCGTATCTACCTGTTTCAATCCTAATGTTGTGAGCACTGAGACGTAGTTTTGCAAAGTTTTGATCTTTTCTTTTTTCAGGGCCTCCGACGAAGGGGGGCGGGGGCCTTGGCCCCCCCACTTTTTGCAAAACAATAGAGTTTTTTTCAAAATCTTTTCAAAATTTCCCTTGGCCCCCCCACTTTTTAAACCTTTGTCGGAGCCCATGTTTTTGCTAGGTATCAAGTCTAAGCAATGCTCAAACTTATAAACAGTTTTGAATGATGCGTATGTACAAAGCTTTTTATTGAGAATAATTTGTTCTTTTAAATTTTCCATAACCTTTGACCTAAAATTGGAAGCACTTTTGATTTCACGATAGAGGAGGTATCGGTTGTATCAAGAGGGTCATCAGGGAACGGGCAATACTGACCCAATTAGAAACACCGGAATCTGCATCATTAATTAATATTTGAAGAGCTCTGTATGCATATCTGGAGGAATCGAGATTTATTAATGCGGTAGACACAGCATTAATCTTTGATAGTGAACAGCAACGGACTCAACAAACAACCTTGCCTAACACCACGATGGCAGGAAAATAGATTACTTAGGCTGTCTTGTCCCCTTACAAAAGACTTGACTTTTGCATACAGGGACTTAAAGACATTTAACACTTAACCATTAATACCATAAGACAACAATGTATCAATGAGATTTTTATAGTCAACAAAATCAAAAGCTTTCTTAAAATCCACAAAGCATAAATAAAGAGTTTTCTTACTAGAAAATGTGTTCTCAATTAAAGCATGAAGCGTAAAAATGTGATCGGAGGTTCGATATCATTTTCTATAAGCAATTTGATTCTCCTTACGAATGTTAAACTCTTCCACTGTCTGATTCAGGCGGTTTAGAAGAATACCCAAGAGAAGCTTTCCGAAATTGCTAAGCAAGGTAATACCTCTATAGTTGTCAAGATATTTTTTGTCACCACCTTTAAAAAGCAAAACAATGACACCTATAGACCATTCTTCTGGGAAGTCACCAGAATCTAGAATTTTATTAAAAAGTTTAACAAAGAGAGTAAAATAACGGTCATTTAAATGTTTAAAGAGCTCAGCATTCAACAAATCAAGAACCGGTGCTTTGTGCGGCACGGGCGACATGCTTAAAAATCATACCGTTTACGGTCTAGAATTGTCTTTGAATTTTTTCTATATTGAATTAAATCGTAGCATTGTGTGTGAGATCGACCAAGTTCTGTCCTGTGTCTATTGTGTAAAGAGAGCAAAATGTATTATCTGTAAGGAGGAAAATAAAAGATTGTGGTAAACACGATTGCTTTATTTCCCGGCGGGCTCAGTCAGTTGATCGAACGTATTACATGTGAGTTCCGAAAACTCTGAGAAAGGGTGGTCTGAAAACTATAATTCTGGGACATAGAATCTTGAAAATAGGATTGCTTTTTCCATCAGTCAGAGGAAACACAAAAGGGCTTTTTAACTTGCTTAGACATAAGTTTAAGAAAAGAAATGGAACATGAATTGGTATAAAAAATCCCTGCACAAGATTGAATATTCTCAGTGAAAAGGGTTACAAAATTTTGGCAAAGGCACAGAATAGGGTACATTTTACTTAACCCAGAATCAGAGATAGGGGTCCAGTTTCTAGTTTCAGGAACACACACGGTATACATTGCACCAACTGACTGTGCCCGCCGGGCTTTATTTCAATGATTGAAGACTAAAACTAAATTCTCAAAACCTTACGGTCTTCCTTGCGACATATGCGACACCCTGAATCCGCCCCGGCGTAGTCTAATAGAGGATGGTACTGATGATGATGATTTGCTCCTAGGCTTGAGCCGACAAGACAAGAGCTTGCCCTTTGTTTGGTTGGACATTTCGGATTAAAAAACACCGGGGGTACACAACACCACAGGGTTCGTTTATTTATCCATTTCGCATTTTATCCGTGCTGACTGCTGAAGAGCTGAAGAAAAAGTTTTGTTACAAAATTTGCGGCTGTGTTGTGATTGAAGGTAATGTCATTTAGCAATATTTCCTCTTTGTTTGTTTGCCTGTTTATGTATTGTATATCGAACCGTGCATTTTGCCTAGGCCAAATGTCACAACTCATTACACCTGTTTCGTATACGTAACTGTGGCTTACGCACAGACGTCGGTACATGGGAAATCCCGGAAAATTTCACTCTCGTGATTACATGCGTGCTGAAACCGAGTAATATAACATTGTTCTGGTTGCTCTATTTCTTTAAATATGCGAGGGCGTGTGTATCTACACTGTCTTTTGCAAAGCATGTCTCAAGACCTACCATGACAGATGCATACAGCATTCTGTGAGACGGAAGAGACTCCAGAGACAGAAAACAACGTTACTTGTTGCGCAAAAATATCACCAGGTGTAAACAGAAGAAAGATCAGAGAGCGTATAAAAATCATTATAATGAAGAACCTTAGATTAGATTAGTTTAATTCTAGCTTTAAAGCTTTAGAGTTAGCCAGTTTTAAGCATTGTATAGTATTAGGTATTTACTTTTGCTACTTGAGTGTTTATTTTGAAATACATGCTTTTGCAGAAGGGCAGATCACCTTGAATAAATAAAAAAGGAAATTTGAATAAATCCTAGCAAGTTGTTTTGGCTCAAAAATTAAGCTTCCAATTTTATTTTGGAGATGACCCCAGGCCATCATCATCACGCGATGCAGGTTTTAGAAACGTAAAGCTTGCCGTTGACATTGGATTAGCTGTTTCCAATTTTTCCATACAGAAATGAATTAAAGTATTGTGGAAAAAAATCAAGGATTTTGCGGTTTCGTTGTTTGTATTCAGTTTCAATAAAGAGTTTTCTTCCGCAAGAAAACTTTCCCTTGGGCGCCATGATGAAGCTCCACTGAGAAACCTTGCCCTGTCATTAGAGATTGTTTTACACCTCATCATAAACGGATATCGCACAGTGTATGACTGGGTATTCTTCAGATCCTGTCAAGAATATGTCATTATGTGAGAGATTTTCATCTTATTTGTTATAATAACCATTCAAAGCCTCTACAACACAGAATGATAAACACTTGGACAAAATATTTTGACTGCATCGTGTAAATATGGATTATGGAAGCAAATAGAGATTAATCTCGACATTATTAGCATCATTGCTTAGCAGAAGGGCAATAGAATAAAATTATCGGATTCGAGCAATTTGTATCTTCACATTTGGCAAAAATGGATAACAGAATTGGAACCTTCGTGTTGAAATTAGTCTGTGCCAAAATTTCAAATTGTTTGGGCCGTCAGGCTGCGAATTACCCCATTTCCAAAATTTAGCTTTTCCTATACATTTCAATGGAATTTGTTGCTGTAGTGAAATTTTTTCACTGCAGCAGCAAGTTCCGGTCAACTCTAAAGAAATATCTAAATATTCGAAACCTCGTTCAAAACAATGTAACATGCGACCGAACGGTCCAGACAACATGAATGTTTCAGTATAAACTAATTTAAGATGAAGATTTCAATTCTGAAGTCCATTTTCGAAAAAAAATCCGTAGATAGCGAGGTACAAAATTTATGACGTCAACTTGAATCCATCAATTCTCTTTTTGATATTTGTACAGTTGGATCTGTAGATCTCAGGGGCAGATCCAGAGCAAATTGGAAAGAGGGGCAGTAAGTAGGGGGGGGGGGCACTGAAAAATTTACAAAAATTGGTCACGAGAGTACGCTGTAAACAGCATTTTCGGAATAAACAACATAACTTTGAAGTAATCCTTGAAGCAAATTAATGTATCGGTCTCAGAATCTTTTTCATCTGATTCTCATTTTTCAAAAGGGGCACACAATTTCCAAAAAAGGGGTGCCAGACTTGCTTCAACTCATCAAGGGAGGGGCAACTGCCCCTAGTTGCCCCCCCTTAAATCTGCCACTGGTAGATCTTGCATGTTATCTGTGGTTGGGTCATTTATAAGTCAGAAAAGGCTCAAATCTAATTCCTTTATGCCTAATTTTTTGGTAGGATCTACAAAATTCAATATAGTAGCTCACAGTTACACTAACATAGCTGAATGCTTTCCAGGCATTACCCTACTGTTTTGAATTTTCAGCTGTTAAACATATCTCAAAAGAATACTGAATTTCAAAAATTGCCTGAATTTGCCAAAGAGAAGTTTGGAAAGATTTGCTAATTGATGTCCTTCAAATCAATGATACAGTTTGAGTTTGCCTTATTTTGTCAAGATTAATACTAGGAGTTGATTAATTGAGTGAGTGAGTGAGTGAGTGAGTGAGTGAGTGAGTGAGTGAGTGAGTGAGTGAGTGAGTGAGTGAGTGAGTGAGTGAGTGAGTGAGTGAGTGAGTGAGTGGGTCAGTGAGTGGGTGGGAAAATGTTGCCCCTCTCAGTCAAGACCTAGCCACAAGAAAAGGCAGGCAGTAGTTACCATAACGAGAGGCGAATTTAAGCAACAATGATTGGGGGTGGGTGTTTGTTACTAATTGGATTTTGGTGCTGGTGCCACACCCTTCAGGACACTGGAAAATGATAGAAACACTCATTTTCAGGAATATAAGAAGATATATAATGTAAAATCTTGGCCCTAATTTGCTACTACCAACTACCAAAAAATTATTTTTACTGAATGAAGGAAAAATTTACTAAAGAACACAGAAATATTGTTGGGGTGCCACACCCCCACCCCCTAAATCCATCCATGACCATAACCTATGGAAATAGTCAACAGGGGTAATGGGCGGGCAGTTGCTAACTGCTTTTGAAATTTGTCGGATTTTTAAGAACATTTGGTGGGAATTTTCCACAAAAACATGCCTACCAACCCTGCAGATTAAATTTCCTGGTTAAATCAAAGATAAAATGTGCTTCAATGATTGAGACCATGAGATTTGATGTGTTTCAAAAAGCTTGAAAAAGACATTGCATTGCTCATGCTCTATCTTACATAGGATATAAGCAAAATGATCAACATATCCATCATTTTGTCCAGCAGCCTTGTAGTGAAATTAATATCTGTAATTTCTGTCAACATTATATTTTGGTCACCTCATCTGTCAACACCAACATTTTATTTCTATGGATTTCAACAAATTTGAAATCATTCCTGGCAAATATTTGGAAGGATGCATACTTTTCCGTCCTCTCTGTCGTCCTACCTTTGTATGTGGAAAAATTAACTTGTTGATATTTTTAATGGGATAACAGTTATTTGGACAAGAAACTGCTATTTTTTTATTTTTTATTGGAAAATTCATGCTGCTAGCACTTTTTCAAATATTATAATTTGGAGTTTCAAAACCATGAAGAATCTGATTTGGAATCAATTTTTACATGACTGTCTTGTGATTTTAATGACAGCTTAAACCTCCAAATCCCAGCTCTAAAAGTTTGAAATGAATCAAGTTCGTCATTATAAATAGATTAAAAAAACGTGATATTTAGATGTTTGACGGAGTCAACAGACATAATTTTCTATGCATTTTACTGTTCATCACTTTCAACTCATCTTTCCTTTACACAGCTTGTCAACTTTGGAATTCTGTACCATCTTCTTGTTTCTCAATTTCTTATTATCTTACTTTCAAGACCAAAATGAACAAACATGATCTTGCCCCTCTCTGTTTTTAGCTTCTCCCTCCTTTCTTTTGGTAGGTCTTTGCTATAAGCCTCTGGTGCTTCACTAAAACATTACCAGTTAAAATATAATATCTAAATTCTTACATTGCAAGTTAACATCGAGTGCTCTTGTAATTAAGATTAATATGATTCCTATAATAGAGATTATGAATAAAAAATCTGAAAGTTTATGTTTTAACCTTGATAAAACTAATTCTCATTCAAAAAAGTTATAACTCCTTTTTTGTATTGATCATTTTATAACGCAAGCTGTGTAACGAAACGCTTTTAACAAATTAGATAAAGAGTTAAATATAGATGTACTTTGAAATTTAAGGTGTGAAAATAAGTTCAGAAAAATCCTTAGTTTGTTGGTTCATTTGACAAGCTAATAGATTTCTGAGTGTTTGAGCGTAGTTAATTAATTGCCAGAATCGTAAAAACTCTCATATAACAAGCCAATCCTGAATATGTAATGAGAGTCCATTCGGTGGATTATTTCTTTGTGTTTTAAACTTTGAAATGCAACATCCGCTTGGAAGTTTTAAAGGGAGATCACAAACAAAAGGTTGCGTTTTCCTCACTTTTATAATTGCCAATTGAAATCTAAGTGATTAGAAATTATGATTCCATTTTCATATTGTAAAATGAACGTCAACCCGTACAAAGGTGGAAGAAGTTCTGTCAGACTTAATAAATAATTAAACGGGCCGACATAACATCTGCAAACAGCGACTACTTTCAATCAACTGCTCTAGCAAGATTTTTATAAAAAATGTTTTATAGCATAGCAATGATGTTTAAAACAAGAAACTACAAGAGTTGTATGTTTTAGGATTTGAGTTTTATTGTTTTTATGCTCTACATTTTTACATCAAGTACAAATCATCTACAGTTTTGTATCAAGATTATGGACTTCACAGCGGAAGAACAGAAATACATCCAACACTCTAATGATATCTTAACCATATTTTAAAAGCTTTCTTTATAATTAACACCTGACCATCTTTGATATTTTGGACAACTAAGAACTCACCGGTCGAGAGCACAGAATTTCTTTAAGGTTGTCTTCTAAAACTAAATGAAGTAAAAAAAGGCTCCATTTTCGTGTCTACATCAATAATTCCCTTTACTTGTCATAAATCTAAATGGCAATTTAAGGTATAAATCTCTCTCTTGTCAAAACATGTCATCATCACGAACCAAACCCAGTTTCAACATAAAAGAATACAGCTACTGAAGTGATCAAGTGTGGGCTTATTGTATGCCGAAGCAAAGGAAAAGCTAGCCGACCGTTTTAGATTCTTAATAAGCGATAAACTTGAGAATTTCGTAAGGTGCCGTCTGATTTTTATCAGTTCTGCTGACTCCTTCGAAGGCTTATGATGCTAGCATGCTCGAAATAACCAAGGTTGGGGAAGGCGCTTCCCAGATCTCAGTAGGATCGATTTTGTATTTCGTTGAGGTGTTATTTTTTATGCGATTCAATGATTTTGAAACTACCTTACATAAAAAAGAGTTTGTTGCAGTCGTTCTCTGTTTGTAAAGGGCATTTTGTTACAGTAAACAGGTCCTAAACACTTTAATCTGCCCCCCCCCCCCCTTCAATAAAAAATGGTATCTGCACCGCCATTGGTACAACGTTCTTTGCAGTCAAGACCATTAGTTTTTTTTAGAAGCTACAGGCAAATACTTCTGCCTAGGGCATACGCTAACTGAGGTTTCAGGTCTAAGTGCGAATATTCCCGGAAACCGGACAAAGAAAGAAAAACTTTCCCCGCGGTCACTAATCAAAAAGTTCGTAATCAAATCAAAAATAAAGAAAGAGGCTACTCATCCTAATATTTTCAAGTGATTTCGAGACATTTTCCACGTTTTGTCCTCTGCAAACCTTATCTTTTTTTGTAACCATAACAGATGTTCCTGAAAACCTGTGCATTTCAACTCGTAAAGCCACTGTTGTCTAAACATTGATAGAGTTAAGAGTTCAGATCTAACAGAGATAGGACTAATAAGTTTTTGTACCGCAAAATCTGAAGATGGACGAAATTCTGTTTCTTTATAACTTTTAACATTCATTGGTTGTGTTTTAGATTTTTTGTTTATTCGAATTTTTTGGAAAGCAAATCAAGTGCGAGTTTCAAGCTATATGTCTTGAAATGGATCCCTGGGACTTACCCTGAGGTGACTTGAATGTCAAGAACGCAGTCGACTGAAAATACATTTATAAACGCACTACTATTTGGTGTATAGCACAGGACGGCTCTAAGTTGCTACTCCGAGTTTCACGCTCAATTCGATCACCAGGAGAAGAAAAGAATATATAAATTAGTAAAGAAATACAAAAGTTGTAAGATATATTGAAAGGAGGACGTAATAAATTGCTGATTTAATGATTTAGTGCAGCTTACTTGTTTTTTCAAGGAAATGATTGTTGGAAAAATGTTTTCAATCATATTCTTCTTGACAATCTAAAAGAGGCAAAGATGAAATAATTCAAGTGTCAATAGATTTAAGGAAGGGGAAGAGCATGGATTTCATTACATGTATTTTTGCAGTATTTTGCCCGAAGTTGCGACAAAACCTGAAGTTGCGACATTTTAGATACCTAGTTTCCAGACCTTTACATCAAACGGCGAAAGGAAGGTCCTTGATGTAAAATATGTGTTGAAAATTTTAAATTGCTACAAAAGATTTTTTCCAAATAATTTGTAAAAATATTTCTTGTAATTTTTTTTGCGGCGAGAACCAACTATTAATCATTCTGAGTACCTTGAAAAGTTTCCAGAAAAATATCTCTAGATGTCCCAAATTGTAGTTGTGTTATTTGAGCTACTGAGAGCCTTTACATTTACATTTTACATTTCTAATTATTCAGGCCCGGTAGCCCCGTCAGTCCACGAGTACTGCTTTAAGGGCGCCGTGACAAAAACATTAATAAGTAATACGATGAATACTACAAAATAAGAATTGTCGTTCATAGTTAGTTTTTGATTCTTCTCTTAAAAGTGGCAAGGGAAGGTGCCTGTTTGGCATTAGGTTCAAGTTGGTTCCAAAGCTTAGGTCCACGAAAAGAAATAGCTCTCTTCCCATTGTTTGTTTTCCGAAAGAGTAGCGAAAGATCGATGTCGGTATTTCTCAGTTTTCTAACATTTCGAGTCGAATTTTTTCGAACCGGTTGGTAAGGTACTCTGGGACGAGTAGCTGTTCGCTTCTAATAATTTCATCTATAGTTGGGCAACCCAAACAGCGAATCAGTGGCATAGCAGGCGCATCAACTCTGCTTTTAACTACTATACTAGCTTCTCGATTCTGCAGCTTTTGCAACGATTGCAGTTTAGTCACCCAACAGCACCCCCATACCGAACAGCAGAACCGAAAATGGGTCTCGACGATACCCCGATACATTTTACTCAACGTGTTTTGAGGTAAAAATTTTCTGGAATGTTTCAAAAATCCGATTGCACGAGAAACTGTTAACGTGTTCTTTCCAATTTAAGCTTCTAGCGATTATCACACCCAGATACTTTGTTCGGTCAACATTTTCAACTTGAGAGTCACCAATAAAAAACTGTGGATGATCAACTGTTTTACCAGTAATTTTCTTAATTTTAGGCTTGGGTCCTATAATCAGAGCTTGTGTTTTTAGAACATTCAGAGAAAGTTTATTACCTTGCAATCATTGCTTCAAATCGTTCAGTTCACTGTTTAGAGTTGATTCTGCTAAGCTCGAAGAAGAGTAAGAAATACTTGTGTCGTCGGAGTACATTGTCACTTTACCTTTTTTCAGAGAGAACGGGAGATCATTCGTATAAATCAGAAACAATTGAGGGCCAAGACATGAACCCTGGGGGACTCCACAGTGGATATCTTCGGTTTTAGAACATACCCTATCTACTTTGCAGAATTGCTTTCTAGTTGTTAGATATGACGTAAACCAAGTAAGTTCTAGGTTCTTTGGCTGTGGATCAACAAAATTCCTTGCCGCAACCAGGAAGCAAAATCAAAAGCCATAATGTACTTAAACTTTGCTTTTAAATATAATGATAACACAATATCTCTGTGGTTTTCACAAACAAGAGTTATCCGAAGGTAAATGTCATTTTATCGCCCCGGGGGACGAAACCAGCGTAATAAGATATAAAAGCTCGACGACGGCTATTAGATTTCATTTAATCAATGCTATTTAATCCTTTCTTTCAATTTGTGTTTTCCACTACTCAAACTCCTTGATAGTGTTTAGCCTTGACAAATCAGGAAGTTTTCAAGCAATGTTGCGGAGGCAGATTTTTGCAACAGAATGTGCAGTCGCGCCTGTGCCACAAGACCTGTAAACTGACCCCTCCCACTCAATATATGCTTTCACTTTAGCATGGTAGAAAGAGACATCAAAACAACTCTCCTTGAGTAGTAGTAGGAGGCGGAAGAAATGAGATCTGCACAGAAGTCTTGGAAGTGGCTAACTGTATAGCGCTTCCTTTCGATATGATACAAGAACTACTCTAAGCAACTTTTCGAAAGAACTTGCCAATGGATATCCACTGAGTTGGTAATGGTTACTAATAAGTGTACATATTATGTAACCACGTACGCCAGGCTAATGGTGACTGCAAAAGGGAGGGTTAGGTTGTGGGCATAAGCCAATAAACACTTTATCTATAAGAATATAGTCTAAAAGAATATTGAGGATCATACTCGCTGAAATTGTAAAATAATTTAAGAAAAATGCAAAGATGAAGCTTCATCAAGAGCTAAATTGTTCGTTCATTTGAGTTTTTTGGAAAGCAAATCAAAAGCGAGTTTCACACTCTATGTTTTGAAATAGACCAATCCGGCCTTGGAGTCATTAACACTATAATGCGACTCAGTTACACCTTGTGTTGCTTAAGAATAAACAAGAATAACATTGGGCTCAAAGTCTCAGAAATTGAAGAATATTGAGGCACAAAAAAGATTAGGTATTCTTACAAAAAAATGTATATTTACTAGACGTATAGCAGCAATACTCTAATACTGAAGTGCATCGGTGTAAAAATAGATTTTTATAGCGTTTGAAAATTTCGGTTGTCCTGCTACACCGAAAATACATCCCTTCGAAGTTTTTTGGTACTTAATCTTTAGTGTTACGCCATCACTTGTTTGGCCCAGCCCAAGAACTCAAACTAAGCAATATTGGAGATTGACAACTGGCTGATTTAACTCAATGAAAACGAGGCCTTGTGACGTAGAAGAATAATCTCATAAATGCTGGTTGATACTTTCTAGCTATACTGCATAACCGACGTTATATGTACGTAACGTCTCTCTACACATTTTGGTTGTTTCTCTGAACACTTCGCAAGTCTTTTCTTGATATAAATGACCAGCCAACGTTGTTCGCAATCTTAGCAAGTACTCTGGAAAAGGTGGCTATTCTTGTGGAAGCCAAATATTTGATAAAAGGTGAATTTTTTTAATAAATAGTTATCTGTTTGAAAATATTTGTACTGCGTTTGTAATCTATAGGTTTCTCAAAGAGAGGCCTATGCTATTGGAATAGCCTGCATATAGGCAAAAGTTTGTCTGAGTAGAACACTGAGCTTATTCGAACGATTTCCGCCCTGTGTCATATTTTCATTGAATATGCAAAAAGTGCATACAATCTTTGTCAACAACTCGCTCCACCCATTACAAATATTGATTCATAAGCATTGATTTTGATTCAACGAATGTTGCAGATCCTATAATGTCTATACACCTTGATTTGCGTATCCGAAAGATTCTTTAATGCTTTTAATTCTTATGCTGATTTTGAAACAAAAATCGCTCGTATTCTGAATCCGATTTATTGTTGCATGACTTTGTTTATGGCTGGCTTAGTTATTAAAAATTACGTTAACTACTATCACAAGTGCAGCATTGAAAATTGTAATTTCTTATATAGATAAAACAATAAAAGAAACTTTGTGGAGATGTATTGAGTGATATATTGAATGGTAGCTTTTTGTAGAGCCCATGCTGTTATATTGTGTCATGTATTGCATGTAACACGTGTGATGTGCTATACCCGATATTATATTCTCAATTCCATAGAGCTGGTTTTAATATTGATCGACTGATAAGCATCTTATTTTCAATGGTTATCACGATTGACACTAAATTGGTATTTAAATGAAATCGATACCGTCAGGCAAAGTGAAGGATGAAAACTTGACACATCAATATTCTTAAAGCAAAGCAGGTCACGTCTCTGAACACGAATATATAAGAAGTCCCCGTTTTGACTATGTATATGTTTTGCATCACGTTTCTTCACCATAAACGGGTGGGTGGATGATAAGAGGAGGGGGTCCCTGTGTTGATGAAATAAAAAAAATTGTTATTTTCATGAAAGCGACCTAAGCGTATTAGCTGTTTTATATTCAATATCTGTTTGAGAACAAGAAACTAGCACTTCTTACTTAACAACTGAATACCTGAATTGTTCCATGCTTAATATCATCAAATTATATCGTGTAATCAGAATCGAAATATAGAAATGATCAAAACAAGAAGTACCCCGGTTGAAGTTGACATATACCTAACTACCATTATGTGCGGCGTTTATTAGAGGAGGCAATTGATTTCTGTCTTTGCAATGATACGTTGGAAGTCCGAAGCGTTAATTTGAAGCAAGGCGTTTCTTAGGGGAATTGCGGCTCGCCGTAGACCAACTGAACTATGGACTGTACCGTGGGTGCTGCATGCGTTATTGGCGTCGTTGGCCCATCACACCGTTAGATGTTTAAACCACATTAAAAAGGACAGCGATTCACCTGGGTATGTTGATTTCCTAGCGTAGAGTTTTCGATCTATGTTCTGACATTTTATACTCTGAAGAGTATCAGACGGAAAGCTAAAGTATGACACAAAATGTTTGCTTTTTCAAAACCATTTATACGACAATTGAAACGTGTGTTTGGCTGGCTGCAGACGGAGAGTGTTTGCATTATCACCAGTTAATAAATCATCAACATATAATTGACCTTCCCTGTCGTTTAGTTACCTGCTCGATTGCCGTTTGCATATGTTTTGGTCAATTGGGTGTCCATGAGTGCAAACGGATAACTGTTCAATAACACTAGATTGTAACTGTGTGCTGACAGCTTCAGTTTGGTAGTTTTCAATTAAATTCAATAAGCTGAAGTATTTTAGATGCTCTAAGATTAGATTCAGTAAGTGGAAGTATTTTAGATGTTCTAAGATGGGATTCTCTGGATTAATATTGTGTAATCATCCTTGTTTTCGTTAATCGATATAGCAGTAGACTTTTGAGTAGTTTACATTGTCACCAGCAACTATATAATCTTTAAAAAAGAACCATGGATTGCATGAAATAATTACTAGCCATGCTTTAGCGACTCTCCTGCTTGATATGGTTTTAAGTTCGGGTATTAGGATGGTGCTGGCTAGCTTTCAGCTTATTTAATAAATTTTCAGTAACTGGTAAAGCGAATTTAGAATTTAGAAAAATTATTAAAGCAATGAATGGACTACCCTAAATTGAAGGTTAATCAAAAATAAATAAATAAAATTCTTCTTGATTCTTCAAAAGTTTATTCTTCTTGAATTTATCAAATTTAATGGAATTGGCAAATATTAGATTATCAGCGACATATTGATGTGAATTTTAGCTTCCTTTATGTGTATGCATTCTTCCGTGATTAACTGGAAAGTTGCTTCTATGTATATATACGTTTGTGCGATATCACGTGATCAGCGGCTGTCTTTTGTTGAATGGGAGAATGTTTATCGTATCTATTTAGTTAAACTGAGCCGGTTTGTAAAGCTTTAAGTTCATACATTGACTAAAAATACGCATTTCGATATGAGTGGTGAAGATATGCCTGCATCTTCTTTGAAAGTCATTTCCGAAAACAAAGACATTATGACAATTGTTCTTCAAAGAAATTTGCGCGAATAGATATGAGCGTGCTGTAATTATCCTTTCCACATCTTCCCGGCTTTTTACGTCAGTGCTTCGTTAATTTAGAGAGCGTTCTTTGACAAATCATGATCAAAGCCTCAAGTTCCATGAACTTCTAAGCGAGGTAGTGATTAAATTTTAAAGCTAAGCATAAATAGTGATTACAAAACATAGCATGATTTCAGCCAAAATAGCAGAATTTTCATCTTATTCATTATTAAATTGATTCTTAAAGATATTTGAAAGAAGCTCTCCGGTGAGCAAAGGGAATGAATGAAATGATACGGAACTGGTTGCAAACAAAGATTTTCTTTGTTTACATACGTCAAGATCGTTTAGCCAATGCCAGCCACCTCGTTCATTGAAACACCAGATGTTTCGCATTTGCAGTTAGGATAAATAGAGTTAAAGCAAGCCTTCGGCATAGCAAAAACGACATGCTGCGGACTGTGTTCTTCATGTTTTTAGAATTTGTTGTAAAGAGCTCGCAAAGATTGTACTCAAGCTTGCCGAGTTTTACAGCGTCTAGAAATTTTGGCCACCAGAGACGCTGGAACTGAGGCTGACGCCATTGGTATGTGCAAAAAAATTTCGTTACTGTTTTTATCAAGCAAATCACTCAAAAGAGTAAACTTTTGCAACGCGATAGCATATTAGCTATCTATATCGTTTTCTGCAACAGCAGTACAGTATATTTTTTATATGTTTGAATTTATAAATTGCCTGCTCTTTTTAAAGGCAGATGTTGTACTGTGGTCGAATTATGTACAATGGGAATTCAAAATTGTTTTCACCTGAAAATAAGAAATCAGACCACACGATGAAAAGATGACCCGCAAGACTTAGTATCCTCACAACATTCATTCAATTCCATATCCTCTACGATAAATTATGATTATAATTTTTGCATATATTGAACGAATGCCACTAATTAACCATCTTTGTTCCGCATCAGCTCGAATATAGCTATGATATAGAGATTCTTCACTTTAAAGAAACTCAAATTTCCATAACAGGTTATGTAGTTTCTAATTTGCAAGAAAATATTTTCAAATGAGACTGATTGTCAAAAAGCATCATTGAATTTGTAGATCATCCATAGTGAACAAGGATACCCCCCAAAATGAATATATGAATGAATTAAGTGTAAAGTACTGTATATATTTAAAATTCGATTGGTTTTTTTTCAACATTGCCTAATTTAAAAGAAATTGTAATATAAAAAGGTGCCTAGCTTCTAATAAAAAGAAACGGTTTGGCTACAGTTTCTTATTTGTCAAATTCTTTTAAGCAGGGATTTACTGTATTACTGACAAATTCTTGAACGACTCGAGATACAGGGAGATACATGTAGCAAAATAGCCAGCAAACGATCAGTCTATAGAAGGTAGTGATCGCAAGGCTGAAGACTCGGACTAAGGCCTTTGAAAGCAAAGGAATTTCATTTGAAGCAATTGAACTGCACCAAATAATCTCTGAAGAAGTTTCTTATAGAAACTCTGGCTTTGTACCTAGAAAATATAACATAGAGTTCTGGCTTTCTACTTAGGAAATAGAACATTCTAGGAAATATGGACATTTTTCGGGACGCTGGTTTGATAATGAGTACAATTTAGCAGGTTTTATTTGACTTGAAACTTATCATGGATTAATCTGTATATATACGTCGTATTAAAAAGACGGAGGCGTGAAGATCAAAACTTATAGATCAGTAACACCTTTCAAGCCATTTCTAATCCATTGATAAATATTGTATAAATTGTTATTTACGTACTTATGATGCTATATTATACTATTATATACTATATAGCTCTGCCTATACGGCATCGAGCACTGTATAGCAGACCGGCAAACAGTAATTTACTATACCATAAATCCTCGATTTAGCCCCCTGGGGGCTTATTTATTTTTTATATTTTTGGACGGGGGCTTATTCGAGAGGAGGGGGGGCTTATAAAATTATTGTAGACAATAAGAAGACATTATTAAAAGACCTTATTTATTTTAGTATGAATTTCTTTATGAGCATTTAATTAATTACTACCAAAAGTACGAATTTGTCGTGGTAATTCAATAAAACGCCATAGGCAACCTCAGATGGCAAAAACCGGTCAAATTGAGGGGTCCAATTCGAGAATATACGGTAGCAGTGAGGGCTTATTCGAGGGTGGGGCTTATTGACAGTTTGTAGTTTTAGAGTGAGGGCTTATTCGAGGGAAGGGCTTATTCGAGGGGAGGGCTTTTTCGAGGGGGGGGGGCAATTCGAGGATTTACGGTACTGCTATTTTCAAAAGGGGCGTCGATCCCTATTGAGTGTGGGTGGTTATGTTTCATAGGACACATGGAGATACTATCAGGGCCCGCGCCAAATTTTCTTTTAGACAAATGGTACATTCACCTTTCCTATAAGGTATTCTTTTAGAACCATGTGCGTAGTTTTGAATGTCTTGAAGCATACTTATAATGCTTGGCTCACCCTCAAGGCTAACCCTCAAGGCGGATTTTCATTTGATACCCTCTGGTCACGCAATTGACTCAACACTCTTCTGGGCCGGCCCAAGATACAATTCTTACTTCGCCGATTAGTTCGGTTGACTAGTAATGTACGATGATTAGTTGATTATTTGATTCACGTGACGTAACGCAAACTGCAGCAATGAAACCGGTCTTAATACTTAATGATTGAATTCTAGGATTACACGATGGAAGTCTCAGAATTGATAACACTGCTTGGCGACCCTGGAAAATTTCAATCAGTGCTATATTTTCTATTATGGCTGTGCAATTCAACTGTGGCAATGAATCATTTGATTATGAGTGTCTTTGGCGCTGCACCACCACATAGGTAAGATTCGCCACTCCTAAACTACAAATACAATCTTAGCTGTTTTTCTGCTGTTATAATTAAGGTTTCTAACATGTGATTTTTTATGTTTCCTTGTAATAATCATCGATATGACACGCATGGTAAGATTTAACAAGGTTGGGGGGGGGGCGCTCTTGGATGGATCCTTTGGTTGAGCACCCTCTTGGGGCATCATCTCCTTGGGGAGCATTTCTCTTCTTACGCTCAGAAGATTTCTAAAATGTTCAGCTTTACAAACGAAATGTATTCTCGTTGACTTTTGAATTCTCGATTTTCTTTTCTAAAAACAACTCACTTTATCCATTTTCAATGACTATGCAATACAGGGTAATTTTAATAAGTCCCAACAGCACTTTTTGATTTAATGGATAATAAGTAAATAGGGAGGGAAAGGGAGAGTTTTAGCTCTTCTTGCTTGGTTACGTTATTGGAGAGGGGGGAGGGTTGGTGTTGCGTTCTCACCCACGCAACCTCTGAGCCCTCTGGCTATGCGCTCTTGTTGGTTAATTCATATTTTAAAAAGAACGCATTTTTTCTTTCATTGACTAAACTATCTGATTTCTTTTCACAAGCTGCAAGTTGCCACCTGGGTTCATGAAGAATGCCACAACGACACCCTATGCAGTTAGAAATGGGAAAACGTTGAGCACGTTGGACTCTTGTAAAATATTTGATGGTTTAAATGCAACTTTGGGAAAGAGCATCGGTTGCCCCGACGGATGGATATTCCAAACACAGCCCCGGGAATCTTCAATTGTTACAGAGGTAATCTTATTCTAGTTATTGTGCGTTTGTCTGGCTAAGAACAGGAAAACTCAACATTTCTGTCCCGCATAAACACGGCATTGTATTGATCCAGTCCATTTGGATCCGAAAAAACTAGAAAACCTTTTATCGACTCTGCTATTGACTATGAGCGACGGAAAATCAAGAAGGTGAACTTTGAAGGAAAAATGTTGAAAACAGCAAACATTTTACAACAAATTTAAGCTTCAGAATGTAATACGTCGTAATAATGATACACAAATCTATCTTCAGTCCCAATATATTACCTTTTGATTCTTTTACTAGTGGACACTTGTCTGTGACAAAAAATACATGGGAAGTCTCGCAGTGACAATCTATTTTGCTGGTGTGATGATTGGTGGTGTTATATTTGGGATGATCTCTGATCGATTTGGTCGAAGAAGAGTGCTCCTATTTACAATGTATGCACACATCATATTTGGTGTTGCTGTAGCATTCATACCCAATTACACTGGTTTTGTGACCCTACGATTTATTATAGGCTTTCTGATGCAGGTGAGGTTATTATAATCATCACTGTCATTATACCTTTTAGCATACAAGTCCCCGCATTGTGAAGCAAATTATGTATAATCGGATACAGTTAGAGATAAGTGCGTATTCGTTATCGTTAAACCAGAGTTTTTTTTCATTCTAGATACTTCCAATATATTGAGCCTTCAATACGTATTCTCTCGAGGTAGTTCCTAGTACCTAGTCTTAGAAGAGAGAGAGGATAGACACATTAGTAAATCTCGGTCTCACAGCCTCGTGTTTTATGGATGTAGGAAAAATAGGGTATAATAAGAGTACCGGAAAATCGGGATCTCTGGTATACCGACCAAGCAGTTAGTTAGGGAAAATCTATCTAAATCAATTGTCGGTCTTAAAAGACATCGAAAAAACCGCTAACGCTCAGATGCGATAGACATTAATGATGAGAAGGTTCGTAGTTATATACACAGAGGCAACCTATGAATAGAGCGACAAAACTGATTAGTTCATCAAATAAAGTGCAATAAGCACGTGACCAGATCTGCATGACTCTGCCTCCGACAATTCATATTTCTTTACATCATACAAGACTCCATCCATGTGTACTCGCTCGATAGTATCTAAATTGGCTATTCTCGTCCACAACTGGGACTATATATCTTCTTAGGCGCTTAGAGTTCTTCGATCTATTGCTCTGACGTTTTAATCTGAAGAGTGTCCAGACCGAAAAGCTTTAGCTTTACTAAAATGTTTGCTTTTTTCAAGTCATTAAACCAGAGAGAACTGGCTTGGAAAATCGACTTTAAATAAGATGGAAATGCCATAATCAGTGTAATTATTTGCTTTGAAGAACTACAGCAGCATATTTCTAACAAAATAAAGATAAAACATTAATGTAATTTTGAAGAATATTATGTTTTTCATTTGTTTAACAAGAATTCTATTTCGATTCACATTGTTCATACTTGATTGAGCTCAGTGAGTGGATCTATTAGCCTAAGAGCTTTGCTTATACCTTTAGCCCTTATTAGAATAGCCCGTGTGCTCTCTAGACTGTGTTGCACTAATGTAAACTTCCGTGGGAGCTCCAATCTCTCATCGGATGCCTGAATATTTGACAATATCTCTATAGTTTCTATTATATAAAGACCTTGCTGTCTATAGCTAAAGCTCTTTTTGCCTCACCGTTGTCCTCAATGGTCGAGATGACCCAATCAGGCTACGACAACGGTTACTGGCCTTTTTGAGAGGTGTTTTGGGCTGTGGCACTATCGGGATGGCAGTCACTCGTCCTTCGCTTGTCCAGAGTTTTATGATTAATCATGGAGAGATATTTCAACTTGCATTGGTCTGGCCAAGCCTTGTCCAATCGGCATCTACATATGGCTTATGTAGTTAAATTTTTTATATCTATACATCCATTTTTCATGTATTACTATAATAATTCCTTGGTTTTCGTTTTTGTCATGTTGTAAGATAAATGCGTGACATGAACTTTCATATCAAAAAATCCGCCACCCACACATACTTTAAATAGAGTTTCATTTGGGAAGGAAGTGCTGAAACTTCCCAGCATGTATGTTCAAAATAGGTTCGTTATGCCATTATTTTATTATTGTAAGTCTTCCTTTTAATGTCTTTTTACAGACACCATGCATATGTTAACGAAGTTCTTGCACTTCGTCTCAGATAAGGCCATAAATTAACAGATCATTAGGGCATTTTAGAAAATGTTCTTTTGGAACAATGAAATTGCTTCAAGCTTGATGCATAATCATTATATTGTATTAGGTATCAATCTGATTATCAGAAATTTTCTGCGTTTTGCGTAAAATTAGTAGAAAACTTTCGTTTTATTCTGACATTATATATTTGCTCTGTTCCATCTTGTAAGAATATGAGTGGAATTCTTACATGTTACTGTTTTGAAGCCCCTTAATAATCTCCTAGATTGTTCTGATAAGCAAATGGAAGCAATTTGATACCTAGCCTAGCGAGTAAACATTGTTTTCACCGGTTAACTATAAGTAGAAAAGCACTTTTTAAAGAACGCCCTGGAGCGTTTATTTTAAATTACTTTGGTCGGCTGAGACTAATATGAGGCTATTTATTAACTCTGGTATCTTTCACCATTACTGACTATCGTGCAAAATAATAAATATTAGCTTTATCTCATGGAACATGATTGATGTTCAAAAGTTGCTTTTTTATAGTGCGTCATAAAAGAAAAAAATCATAGTCAATTATGTCGGCGCAATTAATCTTGAAGTTTACTCAGAGTACTTTTACTCTTTCAGTCAGACTTTTGGTGAACTATTTTTAGATATCTTAATATATTTGAATCTTTTGCCCAGTGCCTCTGTTCCATAATCTATCCGGTCTCGAGCAATAAATTTCTACTCACAACAAAACCAAAGAAAGCGTGCTTTGAAGATCAGCTGCAAAAGATCGCAGTCTTAACAAAAAGCCCGCTTCCAGGAGATTCTCAGTATTGAAAGTCTCTGGTACGTCTGTTTGTGGAAAACAGCCAGCCAGATTAAACATGCATGGACTCTTTAGATACACCAAAATTAGAAAACGTATTTGCAATTCAATTCAATGTTTATATGGTAACGTTGGTCTAATTATAAGTCTTTAAATTCGTACGGAATGTTTGTATAGCTATTGTCTTGCATTCACAATTGAAAATGAAAATCTTATTAAGAGTTTAGGGTAATAGAATACTTTCATGGCCTCTGTTACTTATAAACCCTTTATATTTCAATTGAATATGCGTTTTATTTATCTATGGAAAAATTGTGTTTTGACACTCAGATTCTTAGTTTTTCCTCACTCTCACAAATATAGCTCATAAAAGAAGTCCTCTCTACGATTAACTGTCATCTCTCTGCGAGAGACACATAAGAACGAGTTAAAAATCCTCCTCTTATGCGCAGGCCTATTGTCTCAAATTTCAAAGGCATATTGAATAGCGAGATTTCATGTCACGTCTCTTCCTTCCTTTTAGGGGAGTGAAAAATATTTCGTTTTTGGTGTGACAATAAATCGAACGTTTTATTCGTACGTCCTTCAGATCGTCGAGGATACGTTTTCATATTAATATAGCGATTCAGGAAAAAACTAATACTTATAACGGTAATCAATCACAATAACATTCTCCCTCTATCTTCT